GTATTCTGTTCATTACAATTAGTGGTCCAGTAATTAAAATATGTCAAAATGAAGTCATGGCACACTATGTCGAAAAAGTACATGTTGGAATTATGTAAATATAGAATAATATGTTGAAATCATATGAGGTCATAGCTTGGTATGCCAAAAATAATTCTAAAAAATCCTTTAGTATTTTTATAACCAGGCTCAGGTCTGGCTCATCAGCTGCTGATTGAAATAGAAACACTCATTGTATATTAAATAGTTTTAAAAAGTTCTACTGCAGCGTGTCAAAAAAAGTAAGAAAATGTGGTGAAATGATTCACAGTATAGTATGTCAAAACTATTATTACAATTATTATATACATCATAGAATAGTCTGTTGAATAAAATCAAATAAAAGTTATGCATGCTGAAGAAATATGAAAACGTCATAGAATAGTGGAACAGTCCAAAGTTTCGATACACTTTGATTCAATTGGATTTAATTATATTGTCAAAATAACCTAAACATACGTTAGTTCGTCCAAAAAGGTCATAATGTACATTTACACGTGGAAGTCTTATCCGAGTATTTCTTAGTTTAAGGCATAAATAACACAGAACCAGGTAAGCCACTTTTGGTTTGTAGCAATGTTGACTTTTATTCTAATTTCCAATAAACAGAGAATATATCAGTCCCTTATTTGTACAAAAATACCTGAACGGGATACAATGTAGATCCAGGAGCCGTAACGACAGCACGAAGCAAAGCACAGTGGGGTCGTCTGAAAAATATCATAAACGCTTATTTGCTCTTTAATTCTGTCCCTGAAATGTCTATTTGACTTCAGTCCGTGATGACCTCAACCCCAAAAAATAAAAACCCCACCAGCACACGGTGAGTTCCACCTGCACCGCGGGTCCCCACGATGGGACTGTGTGTGTGTGTGTGTGTGTGTGTGTGATGTTGACCCCAAATTAGTCTTAGTTCCAGGTTTCCTCCACAGTTACAGCCGACTGGAAAGGAACGCAGCGAGTGGACGGATGGCAGCAAAGGACTTGATATGTTCACAAACAAGAGGCACCTGGTGCAAGAAGAGGCTCGGTTGGGAAAAATATTTGGGGTGGAAAAAAAAGAAAAAAAAAGGTTTGTTAATAAAATACACTGCCCTCTTGAGCTGAGGAGTATAATTGCACTACTTGTGATGAAAGGTGTACAAAACCTGCTAAGAAAATCCCCGAGGGTTAAGCGCTGGTGTGTGTGTGTGTAAGATATTTGAAAAAGGCCCAAATCTAGTTTGATCTAAAAAAAATCAAAATGTAAACCTGCTTAATTTAATACTGTGGTATATTCTTTGTTTATATGTATATATATAAAAAGGTCATCTCGTGGCAAGCTAAAGAAAGCACAGTAAAATGTCAATATACACACAATCAAATAATGGAAAAAAAAGGACTACATGAATAATTCTTCATTTTACACAGAGTTATGAGCACAAACATAACAGCCCGTACATAGTGATCTGTGACCTCGGTACAGTGTAACATCTACGTCCTCCATAGCTTCACGTAACAAACTGTATGCTGCTATATTCATATACTTGGGCTTGTGTATGGGATTGCATTGTAGCACAGTGATTAAAAATGGAGGGAGCAGGAGGAGGAAGAGCAGGACGAGGAGGAGGAGGAGGAGGAGGGTCCCCCCCCCGCTCCTCTAAATCCCCACGGCTTAGCTCGACTTCAGCCGACCGACAAGCAACCTTCCTCTTACTGTCTAAAAAAGGCAAGTTATGATAACCAGCAGACTAAGCAATCCTGAATAATGAATATAACAGTCTGGCCACACACACACACACATATATTCTATTCTCCACAGGGCTATAGCTTACAGGCTGGACACAGGTGGGAAAGGGGGGGGGGGGGTTCAAGCATTATCCGATCCCTGGAGCGAATCTGCACTGGCTGACTGAAAAAGGCCTGATTGGTGGAGCACAGAGCTGGTGAGTCATTCGAGTCACGCGATTGGTCGACTAGCGGTGGCAGAGGATCGGGAGTTGGTGACACTACACGGGGGGGTGGGGGGTGGGGTCCGATAACCGCGTGCTAACCGCGTGGATGGAGAGGAGGTGCAGGTGAGGCTGAGCAGGTGTTCTGGTCACATGACATCAGGAGAGAGCCTATGAATACGGTTCTTTCGGGGGGGATCGTGGGGGGGCCGGGAAGACAGAGAGAATTGACCCAAACAGCCGAGTACGCACTCAATCGAAACATCTCCGCTGTTGACCTGGTCCTCAGTAACCCCAAAACAAACTGCGATCACATGTCAAAGTCACACTACATAGCGCGTGGAAACAGCTTGTTCGACGACACGCGGATCATTTCCAGCCATACAAATAATGGCCATAAAGTGGATTCGCTTAGTGATTAAGTGTCACATTGTACTGTTTTACGGACCCACGGCGCCTCGTCTCCTTTCACGTCCTCCCACAAAACCTTCCTACCACCATCAGAAATACGCACGACCACGCTGTTCTCAACGCGATATCAGCTACGCAAATTGATTCTGAAAGGCTGCCGGTTGGCCTCATTTTGATTGTTTTCAAATATGATCATTTTTTTATTTGATGGGAGAATAGTTTGTGGTCTGCAAAATGTCAAAGTTTAAAAAAAAAAGGTGCATTACAATTTCCTAGATAGCGAGGCGATGTTTTAAAAGGCTTTTGTCTGTGCAACAGCCCATAAGATAGAGTTTACTAAAACGTAAGGCGAGGAAAAACAGCAAAAGCTCACATGTGAGAAGCTGGAATCTTATTTCTTCTTATATTTGGGCTTAAAAACCGATTTGTGATTTTGCCGACAGTTGACTAATCCATCAATCACATCGGCTCCAAAGTAATGAATGAACGCCTGAATAACCAACGCGCCTGACGGCTACGAGGCATTCTGGTCCACAGAGGTGGATTATTGCAAAAGTGTTGTTCAAGAAAGACGTCGTCACTGTGCAGCACCCGAGAAGAAAATAGGCCAGAAATGACAGTTTGCATTACCGCTATCTTTCCTTCTTTATGAAAAGTCACCATTGGCAAATATAGTTATTTGCTTTCTCTTAAAGATTCAGATTGATACCAGTTGTAGATGTCAAACATTGAGGGAAATGAGCCCAACGTGACATTTAACTGAAACAATACAGTTAATGCGAAGCAACTGTACTAGCTAATAGCTAGTTAGCTTAATTGAGGAAGTGGCAACAATACAGCACAAAATCACTGGTAAAACTTAAATCTTTTAAATGCACAATGTGGAACTTGTGTCACTGGTTTGATATGTCTGGAAAAGCCAAGTTAGTCGTTTCCACTGGTTCCCTCTTTATGCTAAGCTAAGCTAAGCTAAGCAAAGAGTGGTAGGCCTATCGATCTTAATGTCGAACTCTCCACAAGAAAGTAAAATAAAAATATTTGCAAAAATGTTTGACCATCCATTTAACAAAACCTTTTACACTATTGATGTTACTCCATCTTCTTGACATCGGATACATTTTACTGAATGTGCATCACGGTTTAGTTTGGATTTCATACACAAGGCCCACTTTTTTCACTTAAGGCGCGTGAATCTCATTCCAGGAGTTCAACGGAGTTCACATTTCAAGTCATTTGATCGATTCCACATTAAAAACAGACAAACAAACAAAAAAAGGTTACGGGAGTGCTTTTGTTGATTTGTCTTTTTCTGGAAAGAGGGAACAGTGGTCAGAATCCAAAAATTACAGCTCCATCCCGTCAAAAATGTGCAAGTAGTGAGATCAGAACAGACTTAGGAGGAAGAAAAAAAAAAGGACATTCAGACAAATTCACCCAACAGATTTTTAACCTTTTCGATTAAAACAAAAAGCCTGCGGGTGGACACACTTCTCAGGAGTCCATTCTTCCTCCTCTTCCTCATCGTCTTCAGACGCACATTCTTTTTTTTTTTTTTTTTTCTTCAAGCATGTTCACGTTGGTTTCAAGCCACACGGAGGTCAAAGACGTCTCCCGAACCTTCCCGAAAGGCACCGCGTAACCGAGCCCCGACTCCCGGCGCTCCCGCAGCCCCCCGTAATCCAATCGCAACCGGTGCACGCTCACGTGCACGCTCCTCAGAAGGCATGCGGGAGGAGGAAGAGGAGGAGGAGGAGGAGGAGGAGGAGCAGGCGGCTTCGTTTAGCCAAAGAGAGAGAGAGAGAACAGCTGTGCGTCTGTCCGCCGGGGAGTGCAAAACTAGTTCTGCAACGAATCAACAGTAATAAAACAGCATTAAAATGACATCAAGTAATCAACTGGACAAGAGCGGCTTGTTGCAGCCTTCCTGGTTAACATTCCTCCGTCCCGTCAGCAAGCCCTCGCCGGCTCCCCTCCCGCCCTGCAGACTTCTCCCCGAGCTTCGGTGGAGGAGGAGGAGGAGGAGGAGAGGCCGGATCGGGGGTTTCATCTGGGGGGGTTCGCCTGTCCGGTGTGTCGGGGGTGGTGGGGTCGCGGAAGGGGGAGGGTAATGGGGGGGGGGGGGTCAGGGTGTCAGCTTATTGAGACTGGAACGCACAGGTTGAGACGACTCCTGGATCGCGTTTGATGAGACCCAGAGAGGTTCCCGTCCATCCCTGATTATCGATGAGGAGGTCAGAGGGTGGTGCTCCCCCCGCCCACCTCGGTGCAACAAGGGGGGGAGGGTGGAGAGGGGGGGGGGGGGTGGGGGGGTCGGGCGGTCACCACAGCTTATCGGGCCCCGCGGGATGAGAAATGGGTTTTGAAGGCTGAGAGACTCCTTGTGAGCAGACCTTGCTTGTCTTGTTAATGCTCCGTCTTCGGGGGCCAAAAGCAAATAATCAAGTCTCCATGACAACAAGGGAAACTGCCGGGGACACAGTTTGTTTCTCTCATCCCAACGTCCATGGAATCGAACCGCCGACGCGGCAGAGTTGTTCACATCCCCCAAAACCCGACTTTTCTCTCCTCAACCTCATTGCGTTGGTGAGGGAGGGGCAGATGAGGGGTGGAGGGGCAGATGAGGGGTGGGGGGGGGGGTCTCAGGGGTCGGGGGGGGGTTGTAGGGGGGGTGGGGGGGGCGTGGAAGTGTCACAAGGCCACAGCGGTGCACGGGTGTTTGAGCTTGCAGGGCAGCAGTCCTCTGTTGAGCTGGTAAAACTCCACCAGGTGGATCAAATCGGTGAACTTGGTGGCGCCGTCGTCGAGGCTGAAGAACACCTGACCGTCCTCCTCGCACTTCAGACCCGGTGGGAGGGGGAGAGTGGGGGGGAGGAGAGAAGACGGTTAACCATCGCAACACTGCTGGATGCAGGGCCACGAGATGTAGCGCAGACATTCACGTCACTGATTTAAAGAAAAACAGTTTGTGCCGACTTTAATTCAGTGTAGCAGGCCGGATGTTTCTCTACACCATGAGCGTCTCAGTAGACCGGCTGACATTTGCATGGCATGAAATCTAAAAAGTGGTACTTTCATTCACTAAAAGAAGAAGGCCGACTCTTCGTGCCTCGTCTGGGTGAATGTTACGGGTGACCGCGTTGCGTAACGTGACTGACCGGCAGGATCTGGAAGTGCTTGATCTTCTGGTGGTGGCACAAGGTGAGCACGAACGCCTTGGGATTACTCTGACTGTCCCGCAACAGGAATAATCTGACACACAGGAGATTAGAGATCAAATATAGAGCCGCCACATGAAATATTCATACAAAGACATTCCGACCTTCTCCCCGCTCACGGAGGTCAGCTTTCAAAAAAAGGGCTCTCACCCGTCTACTTGGCCTTGTTGGATGATCATTTTGTGGGCGTCCTCTCTCACGACGCGACCATGAAACCATATCTGTGTCCTGTGGATCACTAAAAAGAAAGACGTCTCCCACTCAGTGTTTGCGACTCATTGGGTACGTTCACGTGACCCAGTTTATACAGCAGCTCTGGGCAAGCGAATCCAAACTAGATGAAAACATGAGTCCGAGCTGCTGCTCCTGCCAAATGCTGAATAATTCCCTGTTCCCCTCAATCCAGCCTGGGACGAGGCGGATGTGAGGTCACGGTGACCTTTTACCCTTTAAAACATCATCAGTTCTAAATCGGAATAACTTCCCTCAAGGCTCTCCTGTTACGAGAGCGGAGCGCAGGGACCTTCTTCCAATGCTCACAGTATCTGCAGCTACACGTTTTGGTGGAAACAGGCTACGAAGTTGTATTTGTCAGGTCTGAAGTTTAAGGGGTACCTGTGCTCAGGGAGGACGGGTGCAGAGGGCTGGGACTTCCCAGGACATTCATACGCTGGCTCCGCTTCTGTGGAGGAGAGAGAGCACACGTTCAGACATCTACCCCGAGTTCAAATCACCCACTTCTTTCAGCGCGGCCGGGGCGAGCTGCCGCTTTCGCCGCGTCGGAGCTGTGATCAACAGATCGGACGGAGAAGAATAAGTTCTGAGCTCCCGAAATGACTCGCGATACAAAACTAAAGCGAGAGGGTGTTCATGGTAAAAACGCCGTGAGAAACTATTCTTCGCATTCATCACATCAAACGACCGGAGCGTAAATCTGCTCATGTTTGGCTTTGGATTTCTTTTTTTAAGTCCCCCTTCTCACCCTCCAGCTCTGTCCCTCCTCCAGGGCGGCGCTCTGGGCCTCCAGGGGGTTTTCGATGACGCGGCCGGTCCGCCCGGAGAAGTCCATGGCGACCAGGGAGTTCTCTGACGCGCTGCGCTGTGAGGAGGAGCGGCAGGTTGGGGAGGAGGGGGAGAGACAAAGGTCAGAGGTCAAACATGCCAGACACACTCACTGGGCCGTGACAAATCCCGTCTGCACACAGACCCACAAGCGACACGGCGGAGAAGCACAAGACTGCAGCTCAGTTTTTCTCAAAGTATTTGAGTATTTTCATTAAATTCACTTTTTAAATTTTCCTCTTTTGGCTGAAAATAATAATTAATAACAAAGTGTTTCACCATCTGCTAATCCACCTGGGACGGGTGCACAGCGGCGACGCCAGAGAGCCGATACTCACCACCGGGGCGGAGAAAGGCGGGAGGTTGGACTTCCTCTGCTGGGGAACGTTGTAGCTCTGATACAGAAGTATCCCGTACTGCGAGGACACAAGGAGAGAGAACGCCATCGACCATCAAACCGCCGGCTCACTGTTGACCGTGAAGCCGTACGAGCCGCAGGCTTGGATTTAAGGAGGGATAATGGAAAGTACCTTGAGGAGTCTGAAGGCCGTCATCCAGCAGGTCCTGCTCTGCTCGTCCTCCGCACACAGCATCTTCAGCTCCTTGCCGTCACTCGTCACTTTGCTGGGCTGCAGAACAAACAGATGCGAACGGACGAGACATGAACGAGAAAGGCCTCTTTTGTGTGTAACAGTAAACAGTCCTAAAGCCAGAAGGCCATTTTAATGTCAGTTAGACAGCAACATCTCTGCAGAGACGGCTAACAGTAGCATCCACAGGCTAATGTTGTCATGTACAGGATGACACCATTGAAACCATGTACAGCATCAGAGTCCTGCTGGTAAGGACGGTACCAGCATCGCAGACTCTCTCCTCCGTCGGTAACACACGGCTCCTCTGATGAAAACCCCACCGCTAAATTAATTCATGTCACCATAGCAACAATGCAACCGACCCCGGCAGCCGAGTAAAATCCCTCATCCAATCCTGCACTGTCACCCCCGCTGACAGCATCTGACACGCCGGTTGTCTGCTGTGTGTGTGTGTATGTGTGTGAGGGAGGGAGGGAGGTTGGGCGAGCCAGATTCCCTGTACCATCTGAGCTTATCCCAGTGGGCTTATCCCAGATCAGCAGGTGACCCGCCACCGATTACTCACGGAGTGGGACACACTGGGCTGAATGCGTGTTCGAAGCCCTGCTGGGTGGTTTGACCCTTTGTGCCCTCTGACAAACACACACACACACACACACACGTAGAAGGGAAGCAGGTGCACCTGTAAAGAAGCGATCTAACAAAAGATCACGTAACAGCCGGTCTTCCACCTCTGATAGAAGGTAGACAGATAGATGCTTTATTAACTTGTAAAATTAAGATGTAATCATTTTAGGAATTGATTCCTGATATTTCTTAAAATTTACGTTAAAAAAAAGGTAATCTCAACACACAAAAACCACAAATCTATTTGAAAATACTCATTTTTACGGGAATAATTATCCAGCAACGGATCTAATGAGTTGCCCGGGTGGCAGCATTGGCTGGCGCGTCACCTTAATGCAGAAGTGGTAATCTGTCGGAGCGTTGTGGAGTTTTCTGCCCGTGATGACGGTGAAGATGTTACTGTCCTCCAGATCTGACAGCAGCTGCAGGTGACGGGGCTCCTGTGTAGTTGTGAGCAAACCAGCGGAAATAAAACGTCAGGTTGAGGTTTTCTTCCCTCTTTATTTAATTAAGTATTGTTCAATGAAAAATGTTCAATGAAGGAGAATCTTTCACTGTTGACACGTCAAGACTAACGTTGCAACCGCAGCTCAACCGGTTGATGCAAAAGCTTCGCCGACCAACAAAAGTAAACTATTACAGACCGGCAGCTGTAACCCGTCACCTTGGACGTTCCTTTAGTGGAGTAGTAGAGCCCGGAGCGCCGCAGGAACATGTAGAGCTTCTTCCAGGACCTGCGTCCGGGCTCCTTCACGTGCAGGTAGCCCTGGATCTCTGGACAGCTGCTGGAGTTCAGAAAGTTCTGCAAAAGAGACACAAGCTGCAACAATCGGGCGAACAGAACGCAGAGACGTCGCGTGATCCGACGCGTTTGTGTTTGGAGATGGCGGGTTTAGCAGAGAAATGTGTGTGTGTGTGTGTGTGTGTGTCTCTGACGACCAGATGTCCTCGCAAAGACAAAACTCATTTAGGATTAATTCAGAGTTCAGCTCCATGTCTTGAGTCGAGTCCCCTCACCTGTAAGAGCTGTGACTGAGGGATCGAGCCGTCAGACTCCTGACACCAAGCCACCATCTGCTCCGGAAAAAAGTTCTGGACGGAAAAACACACAGGAGGCTGACAATGAGTGCGAGAGAAAGCCAGAGAGGGAGCCACTAGAAACCACTTAGTGAATATGCAAGCTCAGAGTGGGGTAGTGTTTCTTTATGCAGAATATGTCTCTCCTTCTGTGTGTGTGTGTGTCCGATGAGCACAAAGCCTCAGAGGCAAAGTGGTGGTGGGGGGCGAGAGAGGCAGATAAATGCAGAGAGAGAGAGAGAGGGCACTCCAGCCTGAGAGTAGATGCAGTATGATCTCATCCGCTGATGTAATCCCCTTTAGCCAGCAGCGCTACTCTCAGCGTGATTGACAGGCCGCGGACAGCACTCTGGTGTTTCGCTGTGCTCATTACCACAGAGCTGAGGTCACCTGCTGGCTCCGACACTCTCCTAAATCACCGCGGCGACGGTGTCACCGTGCACCCGGCAGAGCCCCGTGGCCGAGGCCACAGCGGTCGGGGGATGCCAGCGCGAAAAGAAAAAAAACGGCCGAGCGCGGCAGGTCAGAGGCCGGCCGCCGTCATCCAAACAGACTTCAACATCACCGCGCATGAGTGTCCTCGGAGGACGAAACAAATCAAGGCCTCGTGCGTTGAGTTAGACTGACCCGGGATAAGGGAGGACATGTTTTTATTTAATAGTAGAATTTGGCAAAATATGGGGTAACGTGAAATTTAGTACAGAAACTGATGTTTTGTTCCGCCGGTCATCAGATAACAATTTTGATTTATTTTTCAAATCCCCTGATTGCTTGCAAAACTTTGTGTGTTTAGCGCGGTCACACACTAAACACAGGCTGAACATCAGCATGCTGAACATCTGCCTGCTGAACATCACCCTGCTGAACATCGGCCTGCTGAACATCGGCCTGCTGAACATCGGCCTGCTGAACATCGGCCTGCTGAACATCGGCCTGCTAAACATCGGCCTGCTGAACATCAGCCTGCTGAACATCGGCCTGCTAAACATCGGCCTGCTGAACATCGGCCTGCTGAACATCAGCCTGCTGAACATCAGCCTGCTGAACATCTGCCTGCTGAACATCACCCTGCTGAACATCGGCCTGCTGAACATCGGCCTGCTGAACATCGGCCTGCTGAACATCGGCCTGCTAAACATCAGCCTGCTGAACATCAGCCTGCTGAACATCGGCCTGCTGAACATCGGCCTGCTGAACATCGGCCTGCTGAACATCGGCCTGCTGAACATCGGCCTGCTGAACATCGGCCTGCTGAACATCGGCCTGCTGAACATCGGCCTGCTGAACATCAGCCTGCTGAACATCGGCCTGCTAAACATCAGCCTGCTGAACATCGGCCTGCTGAACATCGGCCTGCTAAACATCAGCCTGCTGAACATCGGCCTGCTGAACATCAGCCTGCTAAACATCAACCTGCTAAACATCAGTCTGCTGAACATCGGCCTGCTGAACATCAGCATGCTAGCTTTGTTATTGTGAGCATCTTGGTTCATGATCTTCTGGTCTCTCTGGTCTTTGTTCTCGACCTCCAGAATGCGGAAGCGCTGTCTCTTTGGTTCCTGACACGCTACGAGTCATCCCGTCCTCCTTTGTTTCGTCTTTCCTTCTTCTGCAGAAGACACGGTCCCTTGCACGGAATTGTCTTTTACTTCTTTCTTTTTTTTTATTAATTACTGGCAGTTGTTTGCCTTAAAAGAATAGTGGCGGGTTTGAGCTCTGCGGTTGGGTAATAATGACGAGGTGACTAGTTTCAGAATGTCCAGGAGACACGTTGGTTATGATTAACGTCCAATATCGACTTAAGGGATAAAACCGTTGTCTCTGATTTCGTCATCGCTATTTGAGTGACAGCTGCAGAAAAATCTATTAGTGTGCTTAAAGCAACACAATGTCAGCATGACTTCTAATGTTGTCCTCAGATCCAGAAATACCACGGCGAGAGAGCCGTCCGAGCCCCGGCTGCGTGTGTGGGTGGTGCTAAACTGAAGCCCCTCCCCCCCGGATGATTGGGGTGATTTTGGTCTCCGTCTACCAAGACTGCCACTGCTGCCTTATCAATCGTTCTTTGTCATTTCTAAACAGCTGAGCGGGTCGGAGACTCACCAGGGGGTTCCTGAAGAATTCATATTTGGCATAGTTCTTCCTGAAGAGAAATTTACTGTCGCTGCTCATGGAGGCTTGAACCTGAACCACCAGCTCGTGGTCCTCCAGACATCTCTCTGCACGAGGACACAGACAAGACAGCGTTAGTCACCTTCGGGCCGGGACACGTTGTCCTCTGGGATGCAACTGGAGGCAGATTATGGAAAAAGATCAGTGTACGCTGCTGCAGTTTAATGGAACTCAATAAAAACATTTAGTTGAAATTGTAACTCAGGTTTCTCCGTTCGGAGTTTCTTAACAAGCTCTTTTGCTGCCGTCTCTCCCTCTTCACGCTTCTCTTCCCTCTAACATTGAAAGCTCATTCGGAGACGCCCTCGTCGCCAGAGGACCTTGTTGACCGTAAGCGGTTTTTCGAACGCTGTCCTCCAGCTGCTGCGGACACACGGCGACCTTCGGGTGGAAAACGAGTCCATCTCACTCCATCCGGCGCGTTTTAAAAAGGAAGCCGCCACAAACCGGATGGAGAAAATAAAAGTCGACCACCTTTTCAAAAGGCCCGTAAAAGCTCCAGGATGGGGACTCGCATCATCCCGCAGCGCTCGCTTTATTAACTGCAGGTCTTTTGATGGTTCGAACGCGTCACCAGTTAAACTGTTACCGAACACAATGACACAGCGAGAAAAATAATCTCCTGTTACTAGGAGACGAGCGAGGGAGTGAGAGGTTAAAACGAGAGGAGGGGGCAGCGAGAAGAGGGAGCAGTGTGAGGCAGGGAGGAGGGGGGAGAGCGGGGGGAGACGTGTGGGGGGGGGGAGGGGGTGAGGTGTCCAGGGCATTGTAGGAAGATGATGTCATGTGTTTAGGCTGATTGCTCACAGCAACGAAGCCGTGAGCAAAGCACGAGAAGCCACACGAGACGAACACACCTGCGGACATGTAGGAGGCCCGACCTGCTCGTCGTGCAACCGCAGACGCTCAACGCACGTGCACGCGTGCGCGTATGTGTGTGTGTGTAGTGTGCGCGTGTTCTCTTTTTTCTTGAGGCCACATGATCTCAGAAAGAGGCCACTTTAAAAATGGATTTTGACGGGATGTTCCGCGTGGACTCACACACACACACACACACTTATATGTTCTGGTAAAACTTTCGTTTACTTGCTAAGAAAGACTTCTGGCTGTAGCTGAGGTGTGTGTGTGTGTGTGTGTGTGTGTGTGAGTGTGTGTGCGTGCGCGCGGCGGAATTTCCTGTGGAGGGTCACGGAGCGACTGATTGGCTGCAGAGGCGAGAGGCTCGTCCGACGGAGACACGCGATTGGCTCCTCGCATCTCTGGTATGACGTTTAGTCCAGCCTCCCCCACTCAACCTCTCCCTCCCTCATTCCCTCTCCCTTCATCTCTCTCTCTTTCCTTCCCTCCCTCTCTCTCTCTCTCTCTCTCTCCTCACCTCACATTCCACCTCTCCAGTGCACTTTTTTTTTTTTTTCCAGAAACGCAGATCAAGCAGCAAAGCACAAAGCGATCCTTTGACTCTAAAAATACGAGGCGGGAGTAGGAAAGCCTCACTCGGGGACCAAGACAAAAAAAAAGAAATAACGAAGAAAAAAAACAAAGAAAAAAACGGCAGACGCTGCAAAGCGAAGAAGCAAAGCATGAGTCGAGGGTTTTTCTCTCTGAAGGAGCAGAGCATTGCGAGGGGAAAAGGCATGTGAGCAGAACATGGAAAATGTTTAATCCTACGACCGCCACGCCTCCCTCCCCGAGCAGGAGCCACACAGGCACTCAGGCCAGGCTCAAGTGGACACACACACACACACACGAGTACCCCCAACCACGCCGGACCCACAACACCCATCACACACACACACACACACATATAGATCCAGATCTACAACACCGGAGACACACAAACACATGGAAGCTTTCTAAAGAAAACTCTCCTTTTTAATCCCCTTTTTTTTAACTGCTGCGTCATCGCATGTAGCCAAAGAAAAGGCAGCGGCATCAACCGGGGGGGGTGGGGGGGGGTCTAGATTCGGGTGTGTGTGCGTGCACGGGCATCCTTACCGAGGCCCAGCGCGTGGTGGTGCTCCACCAGCGTCCAGGCGTTGTCGTCCACACAGTGGCTCTTGTAGACCAGCAGCTGACACAGATCTCTGGCCGTCATGTGAGCCGGGATCTCCACCGCTTTGCCGGCGCCGTCCTCGCTCCACACTTTGACTATCTGGAGAAAGACACGGGGGGGAGAGGGGGGGGACAACCGTGAGGGCGCGCACAGCAGCCAAGGGGTCTGGCCGGAGAAACTAGTGACGCTCTCTGGAGGCCGGACGCGTCCCGAGTCACTTTTTGGGGGAAAAAA